AAATCTTCACTACTAAACACTGCCACTAGCAAGCTGCCCCTTGTTTCCAGTTCTTAGACACCAGCTGGAAAGAAGGGAAGGTAATCACCACGGTATCCGGGCCTTCGACTTGAGCCCTGGGCTCCGCAGCAAGGGCAGGGCAAGGTGAGTCTGAGGTGGGGCCTCCGCGTGCTCCGGCCTGGGATAGACCACCGACCTCCAGCCGGTGGGGAGACCTGTGCCCCCTGCCCAGTCTTTTTCATTTTTAATTGTAGTAAAAATATCAAAATAAAATTCACCCTTGTAACAGATTTTTATTAATGCATTTATGTAGCACCTAATTTTTACATTCCTTGTGTGGAGTTGGTACATGTACATAACAGATCCTAATTCTTTTTTTCATCCCCTTTCCCTCTCTACCTTCCCCCCACTCTCTATCTCTTGGTCCCCTTCCCATTTGAGAAAGCTCCCTCTGCTTCCTAATATCTGCCTTTTATGTTGTTCTTTATTTACAATTTGGGTTCCCCACATAAGAGAAATCATGCAATATTTAAGCCTGTGTCTGATTTTTCACTAAGTATTATTGTCTCAAGGTACATCCTTCATCTCCTCAGGGCTAGCTTTGAGTAAATCCTTTTTATCAAAATATATGGCCTCTTTGATTTGATCAGTGATGAGCAAACAAACCTAAGTGGCTGACAACACATTTATCTGTCTGTGTAGTACAGGTAGCACAAGGGGCTGGGAAATTGCTCCCCTCCACCCACTTGAGTTTGGGCAACACTTAGAGTCAATCCTCCTTCCATTGTTCTGAGAGGTAGAAAATATAATAACAAAAATCCAGGAAATCTCTGAAGCTCTAGGCAAGAGCACCTGCACTATATCTCTTAGCTTGACTTTCAGTGACCTTTTCCCCACTTGAGCCTTATTAATGGTTCATAAATATGAACTGCATCTCATACATGTAATTAAATAAGAGTGAATTCTGGGACAGGCATGCATGTTGACATTCCCTGAGATGATTCAGCATCCTGTCACTCATTCTTGTCAGTCTTACTCCAGAGACCAACTGAGAGGCACCTGGCTGAAGTACACATCCTTTAAATTCAACAAGCCTGATTTATCTATGTACTGTGTGCTTTTTGCTTTCCAGCCATCCCTACACCACATTTCTATTCATGCCACAACTGTCGTCAGCACAGACCTGCCCTGAGTAATCTTCCTGTGATCTTAAACAAACATAGATGCTTTTCATTTGCCATTGGATGTACCCTTTGTGATTCTTTTCTGGTCATACACAACAGCCTGGAATCTATCTGCTGGGTCCATCCCATGGTACTGCAATGGCAGGAACAGCACATGAACAAACTGAAATGTCACTCAAAGAGGTGGAGGGTAGCCAACATTTATTACTGAAGTAAGCAAATTAACCAGGAAACCACCCCCGTAGCCTATGCCTAAACTTTACCCCTTTTCCTCCCAGACTGCTTGTTCAAAGTGATAAGTTAACCAGCACATAGCTTACCTTGTAGTTGAGATCAGAGGATAGGACATGCTATACTGCAGCCCTAACCACAAGGATAGGAATTTCTTGCTGGATCCTTAAAATTGGATTTTAATCTAACTTGCAATTTGCTTCTATACCCCCATGCTTGCTCAAAGATGAGATCATGACATTCTATTGTGTGTTTTTTCCCCCCTTAAAAACTGAGCTTCCCTGCTTGATCGATACCAAAGAGCGAGGAGCTCACCTTTTGTCACCAGCTATAAGGGACTTTTAATTTGGACATTTTTCGTGGCATGATTTTTTTCAACGAGTCAGCTATAACAATTACACCAGTGGACCCAGAGGAGTTTATGACTCCTTAGCACATACATCTCTGTTTCATTGGTCTGGTGAAGAGAAACAGGCTCTTGTAAAACAAGATGTGATAAAACTGTTACCTATAGGAATAGAGTTGTCAGGATAAATAATGGCAGCCACAGGGAGGGGAAGGTGATGAGGGAGTCCTTTAAGGTTTTATCTAACACTTAAGACTTACTTAGGTGTTTTGTTTTTTAAGTTCTTCTTTTCTCATCAGAATCAAATGGGCACCTCTAGCTACTGTGAATAATACTGTTGTGAACACCTATGTGCAGATGTCTCTTGGAGACCCTGCTTCCATTTGTTTTAGGTACATGTCAGGAAGCAGAATTGCTGGATTGCACAGTAACTCATTTATCTTAGGAGCCATTTCCCAGAGCTGCTGTACCATTTTCCACTTTCACCAAAGGTGCTCTGTGTCCCTATTTCTCAATCCTCACTGACACTTGCTTTTTATCTTAATAGTAGCCATCCTAATGGATGTCTATGACAAAAGGAAACTTTAAAAATAACATCAAGTTCTCTCATTGGCTTTGTCTCTATTGCCATGACTTATTCATGGTTCTGTTTGGTGAGACCAGATTTGATTAAATCTAACTTAATTTGGGCAGGAATATTTGAGTTAGGATCATCAGTACCAATGTCATCGTAGTTGTTACTGATGTTTTAGCACTGTATAACAAGGCTCTAACAGAGCAATTCTTCACAGAGTCTGATCCAACCTGTTTCCCCCTTTATTAGTGTACGTTTGTAGTACATAATGATCACATACCTCATGGGGAATTGGTACATGTACATAACACATCTCAGTTCTTTTTCCATCCCTCTTCCTTTCCTTCCCCACTCCCTTTCCCCAGTTGCAAAAGATATAAACCCCTATCTTACTTCAAATTTAGATAGAAAAATTTCAGGAAATATTTAAATTTGATATACAGAAAGAAAAGTGGACTTATAAATTTTTTTCTAATGAGTTAAGAAAAAATTTACTTAATAAAATTCTCAGAAATTAATTCATTTTTGCTAGTCTTTTAACAGAAATTAATGCTTGATTTACTTTTTTAAGTTATAAATGGAAAATAGTCAATAAGTAATTTAAAATGTAAATAATTATCTTCATTTTCTCATAATGAACTGTAAATAGAAAGTCAAGGAAAGAAAAGGGGACAAGTACAGAAGAAGAAAAAAAGAAAGAAAAGATAGAAGAAAAGAGAAGGATATGTTAAATATGAAATGGAAGAAAGTGTTTTAATACATATTGAAAAAGGTAAAAAGATGACAGATTCTTATAGATGTGACAAAACTCATACATAAAGCAAATGTGAAAAATGAGAATAAATATTTATTAACTTAAAAGCACGTCAAAATCACTCCTTAAAAAAAGACTTGTCTTAAGGTAGGATAAAAGAAATTTTAAAATAGGCAAAAAGAAGACAAACAAATAGGGATTTTTATTTTATTTTTTCTTTAAGTTTATTGGTACTTTTTAGGTATACATTACAATTACATTCATCATTGGGATCTTGTACCTTTACATGACAGGTCTTGGTTCTTATATTTTCCCCATTCCCCTGTCCTCCTTTCACCCCCCTCTAACCTTCCCTATTTACAAAGATTTTGTTCCCATTTTTTCCTTTTCTCATATTTTTTTCTTTTCCCTTCTTTCCTTCCCCTGCCCTTCCCACTTCCCCTACTCCTTTAGACTTTTTCTTCCTTTTTCACATTATCAAATTATACAATTTGAACCTTTGCAAATAGGGATTTTTAAATTGTACTTTAAAAAAAAAAAAAAGCAGCTTCAGGATACAAAAGTTACTCAATCCTTTTCCTTCCAGGGAAAAATTCCTAAAAGTCTTAAAGACACCATAAGCCCATAAATTTGGTTCCAGACCTAGACATGCCCTTTTCACCTAAAGCTGTGTTTCCTCCATCTTCAAGGAAGCAGCAATATTAGTGGGCAGCAAATCTCAACTTCAAACACATGTTAATGACTTGCACTCTGGTGTAACTTTCCAGATGGGTAACCTGACAGGCAGTAATAATGCACATCCTAGATCACCCATTTTTGAAGACACTCCAAGACCCCATAGAACAAGCCCAGCTCTGGAACATAAGGCACCTCTCTGCCTCTTGAGGATTTTCACTCTTATTTCTTTGAGACATTTTGAATTTCTGCCTGATGAAACCCTTCTCATGCCTCCTACTGACTATTCCTGAAAATTCATTTTCTGTTACAGGAGTCAGCAAATCTCTGAAAATTCTATGTCTTGGACAAGTTAAGTTCCTCATTCAGCTTCAGAAAATTCCTTAGGTCCAGTCTAGTGTGAGTTTCTCAATTCTTTGCAAGTTTCTTGAAGAAGAGTTTTACAAGTCACTATTTCCTCCTATCACAGACCATTGATTCTTCAGCCCACTATTCTGTGGCTTCTGTATCATTTCTCCATTGAAGCTGCCCTATCAATAACTTCCTAACTGCCCTCCCAAATAGTGATGCAGTTCATTCCTGGTTCCCTTTCTGCCTCTCTGATCACCACACATTAATTTTTTGCAATGAAATTCATCTATCACTCTCTATCGTGGTGTTTCTGTCATCTGTGATTCATCCTCCCTCTTCTCACTCGACTCATTGACAATCTCTTTAGAGCTCAGCTATTAGTAAGTTGTGAATTTAGGTCCAAAGCTAATGTCTCCAACTTGCCTGCCTCAAGCCTTTATACCTCTCTGAACTTCACGACCTCTCTATCTGCCAATTAGACATGTTTCCACTGAGCCCTGCAACTTCTGATGTATAAAATGCAGGCCCGCAACCATCTGAGCATCAACAATCACTTCTAAGTCGGTGGGACTAGAAGCCAGGCAGTTAGCCAGAGTAACTCAGTGACTTTGGGGGTTGGGGAAAGGCAAAGCAAGGAAGACTGATGGCAATTTTCAGATGGGACTGAAGAAGGAAGAGGAAGCTAGGGTGCACTACTAGTGTTTTGTGGCAGGAGCAAGAGCTGGTGGCTAACAGAGAGGAGAAGAGGGATACTTAGAGGATATGAAGGATACTGTATGCTTAATAGAACAAATTTAGAAGGCAATCAATCAGAGATACCAATGATGAGAAACAAGTAAATTCCACTGCCTCCTCAGGAACCTCCTCTGCCAAAGGAATTGGCAGTCATTGAGTATTCCTGTTCACTAATTTTCCTTGATATCTATTGCAGAAATCTTGATCTTTGCAGCAATAGGTAGCTATCTTCACAGTCTCAACATATACAGTATGAGATATACATGTATCTGAGCAGTCCAGTTCAGTGTGATAGTAGGACCATTTACCTAGAAAAGGAAAACATTTATCATTAGTGCCAGAATCAGAACTTGGAATTCACAATGAGAAGACCTTTTAGCCTTCTCTGTGCTCCAGAGCAGGAACATATCTGTCTCCCAGAATATCGACCCCTGCACTTATACTGGCCAGACAGTGTTACCTGTGTCAGTGAAACTGAAGAAGTTCCTGGTTCTACATCCAGGGCCAGAGTCCACTGTGCAGTTGCCCTTGCCTATCAAACAATGACCATTCTTAAAAGACTTGCAGACCATGCATACTGTTGCTTGAGCTGGGAAAAACAGAAATGAAAACTAAGTCCAGGATTGACTAGGATGACACCAAGGTAAGTTAGGAACCCAGGAGGTGATTGACATAGTATGACCCTAAGGAAGTCCTCAACATGATCTCAGAGGCAGGAAATGTTCCATGAAACTGGAACCATTTATTGCTTTAGAAGTTGGAGGTTTGGCACTGGTGTTTTGGTTGCATTGAATATAAAAGGCCAGTGGTGGTGAACCTATGGCATGCATGCAGCAGTAGGCTATTTGTATCACTGGAGGCACTAAAAGGTTTGCCATCACTGCCCTAAGCTATGGTGTCATTGTGTAATGAACAAGACCATCTGCATACAACCACATGGAAGCAGAATATACCTTTAAAATGGATAGAGAATAAATATTAACCTGGAAAATGGTGGAGATGTAATCTCACAAAATTTCCTTCTGTAACTTGTCCTTAAATAGGCATTTGATATTTAAACCTACCTAATTAAACAGTATACTTTGTGATGAAAACAGGTTTAAATTCATTGGTGACCTCCTCCTGCTACACAGTACTCTAGAGAGTTTCTACACAGAAATTTTTCACTAACATTTGGTTGTCACTTGGGGCCAGTCAGCCAAACTCAATGCCCTAAATTGACAGGAGCACCCCAAAACCAATCTTTTCCAGTGAGTGACTGACATCACCCAGAGAGCTTAGGAAAAGACCTGAGCTCTTAGCTTGGTAGGAGTCAGGGTGGACTCAGCACCTACATTCCATGGTAGTTAGATCATCCCAGAATCCTGACCTGCGCCTCTGTCTTCCCTACAGGCAGACAGCCCAGGCTGAACACATCCATCATCCCAGATCTGGTCCCAAGCCTCCTTCATGTCCTTAGCCTCATTCCCCCATTCCCTGCTCCTCAAAGCCTCACACACACCTTGGAAGAAGACCAGAGGGAAAGCCCCCAGCAGTAGGAACAGGAGCAGGAACTTGTCCATCTCAGTCTGGGTGGCAGAACAGGGCAACTGGGCAGCAGGAAGTGGGCACCAAAGAGCCAGGAGGGACCAGACAGGCTGCCCTCGTGTATGGGTGACAGCAGGCTGGAGAATCTGCTCTGAGCTGTGCCCGGCCTGGGCAGCAGCTTCCTTTTACACCCTTGCGTGTGGGTGTCTCACCACCACCGGGCTCAGGACAGCTTCCCACACAGCCAGCTCCTTGGAGCTTCTGGGGACAAAGGGCTCCCAGGAGCCCCTCCTGTTCCTGTGCAGGTGAGGTAGGTCCACATTGTTCACTTCCCCCTTTCTGCCCACTCTGAGTTGTTCTCATGGCCAGGACCATGGTCCTCCCACTCCTGATGGTGTGGGCAGTGGTGGGGTGGTTGTCAACACCAGACATTGGTTCAGTGTTTCTGATACACCAAGGTTTGCACCTACCTGCTGCCTCTGTGCATTGTCACCTTTCTGATGGACCTTCCTATTCCTTTTGACTCTTATTTCTTTACTTTCCAAAATTATATACACATCCTGATCAAATTAAACTTTTGCAGTCAGAGGCTATCAGCAACTGCTCCATGCTGTCCAGGCTTAGAACTTCCACACACACTTTTCATAGGCCTGGCCTAGAGTATGACACCCAAGGTACTTAGGTACATTATATTATCTTAATAATGTCGGGGGGGTGAGACAAGGCTTCACTATGTAGTTCAGGCTGACCTTGAATTCACTAAGTAACCCAGGCTGAGGTCAGACTCATGATGATCCTCCTGCCTCAGCCTCTTGAGTGCTGAGATAAAAGGTATGGGCCACCGTACCCAGCTATTATCCTAATTTTTAAAATTATACTTTTCTACCTATTCTCTAAAGTGCTATCAGCTCTCTTGTCACATTTCATTAAAAAAATGAAGCCCTCACACACTCAATGCACCAAGGGAGAAGCGAGCTCCTGACTGTGGAGGCTCTGTGCTAGACCGCACATCCTGGGGGGACAGGGGTAGTCTTGTGTTCCCTCTCTCCTATTCCCTCCAGACAATAGCTTCATGACAGAGCCATTCACAGTCAGCTTCACCTGTGAGCAAAGCACTCTGGCCAGGCATGCTCAGTGGACACAGCAGGAATGCAGGATTTACTGCAGGCTAAACAAAAGAGGTGCAAGAAATTAATGAATAGAATACATGGTGACTTGCAGGGAGGAAGCAAGTACTGGAGAAGGAGAGCCCAGATTCTCCATGTACCATGATATGAGCGTCCGGATTGACCAACCTCAAAACATTGCTTTTGTGCACGGGAGTGCCCCTCCACAATTTCTCAAGACAAAGATGGTGAACAGAAGACACTGGAGGAGCATGGGGTGCATGCGTAGTGGGTTGTGGTGATCCCATGGCTTAGCCAGTCCCTGATGGATCCATTGTATGTGTCACCCAACTTACTAATATGTTTAATGCACCTTCCCCTCCAACAGTGACTGCAGAATTCCAGGGGTTCTCATGGTTCCTAAACTTATGTCACCCCATCATAGCTGTGCCAGAAAAGGAGGTACAGAGGAATAGAAAATGAGAGACATAGGATGTAATCAATTTATTGAAGTATCCTATGAACATATTTGCTCTTGTGAGGCATCAACTTATAAAGAGCCTCTGTAGATGTTTCAGGCTAAAGACTTAATCATAACACCAAATGAGTTGTTGGAGAGGGATTTGTCATTGACTTAACAATATGAGAAGAGAGGTTTTTTAAAAAAAAA